AGTACCAGATGTAAAGATAAACCCTGTCACTTATGCTGACATTAACCTGTTAGGCAGAAGACTACTTTGAATCCTCACCAGGAACTGAACAGCTTAAAAGAATCCTAAGCATTTAATACACAACCATTATGTTTAGCTAACCTTCTCAATGCCAGGGCAGACAGTAGATATTTTGTGCAGATGAAGAAACTAATCTCAGGTGGAGGACCTGCCCAGTGCCACCTATCTATGGACACAGCTAGGATTCAAACACAGGTCTCATTCCTAACCCTGTGTTACTTCCACAATGCTTTACTGAAACTCAAGAAACCAAAAGCTTTCCTCATAAACGACTGAATTAATCTTTAAAAAAAAAAGGCTTTCAAAAACAACCTTAAAATCATAGCCACAGCAAACCTTTAAAGACCAACCAGTTCATACCATCCTAGGTTAACAGAGAGAATTAAGCAACAACTGAGTGTGGTGAGAGCTGAGATAACTGAGACACTCAGGGGTCAATAAGAACATGTAGTGGGAGTACATCGGGGTTGGCGGGGGAGGTTACCTCAGGAACTGCTGAGGCTTTAAGAATGAGAAGGTGGCTCAGTAAGCAGAGAGGGCTTACATGGTTTCACTCTTTAGGCCTCTTATATGATAGTATTATCAAACCACACATATTAAAATATAGCCACTTCCCAAAGTTCTGAAATGCTTTTAACAATTTTGCTTCTTAAACTGTTTGGTGACCAGCAACTGGTTTAACAGATAATTAACTATGACTTGTTGTTTGTAATCATTGTGTGCTTGGGAATGCTTATGAAAAACAAAAAATTCTCACCTATCTTGTTTTCAATATTTTAACAATTAAGGTGGGAAACATTTTCTTTTGTGAATAATTATTTTTGCTCTCTTTTTTGAGCCAGTATTGTTTTCTGTTTTTTTTCTTTTTTTTTTGCACAAACATTCCTATTGGTTCTTCAAAGTTTACAGATCTTAGGCACAATGCCTTTAATAGCAGGTCGAAACAGAACATGGGACTGACAGAGTACGTGAGAAGGTCCAGGAACCAGTACACTCAGCACTTAAAACAGCCTGAAGTCAGTTGTCACGATCTGATGTTAGATCCCTGATGTTGGATACCTATATGTAGCAAGAGAGGCATCATTTCGAAATATATAGCCCCCACCAATATCTTTCCTTAAAGACTATAAAGAGCTTCAGGATGTCCTACATTCTCAGAGGCAGCAGGAAGAGGCATTTGCCCCTACCATTCCTTTCCCTTTGGAACACCGTCTACTCCCAAGACAGAGACAAGTTGCCCAAATGGCCACCAGGGAGTCTAGCAGCAGTCCTACCACTCATGGTGACAGGGTATTCTGAGTAGACGCATGAAGTTGCCACATGTGTTATAGCTGAGCTAGTTCATTTCCTTTGTCTTTAAGTTGGCCTCTGATGTGTAGAAATTCACCTACTTTTATCAGTTTGAATATATTTCCCAACTCGTAGCAAAAAGTATTAAAGCTCTTTAGAGGATTAGGAATGGGGAGGAAACAGAAAAAAGAATGTTTTGAGACCTCAGAGAAAATATCTTAATAATGTTTAAAAAAAATACTTATGCCAACTCACCTACCTGCTATGGGGCATCTTTCTGATTTTTCTAGCACCAACTCACACATCCACCCCGATTCCACAGAGGAAACCCAAGTGTGTGTTTGGGGGAGGGGGGTGTGAATTACTTAATGTCATAACAGCTAATTAGTAGCTGAACTGGACCAGAAAGCAAGCCGTGCCACATTTACCTCCTGAGATCACCATCATACGCCTTGCAGACCCAACAGGTCTCGCAGAGCAGGATCCGCATCGAGAACCACTAGCATCAGAAGAACCAGGAAGAGAGGGAGTAGAAACATTCTGAGCTGGCCCTTCGACAGGTACTGCCCCAAGGCCCATGCCTCAGGCTTGGCGTCAGTCTATCTGACAGGAATGGACCAAAAGTGACAAAGAATCAGAGTCTCCTCATACCCAGGCAGCCCCTGACAAAATGTCAGTTTTTATTTGCTTGAGTAAAAGAATGATGTGGCTTGGCCTCCCTAAGATGCCAAACAGGGATAAATTGTTCCATTCAAATGGCTTCTTAGACTTAGCCAACTAGAACGCAAAAAAGACCTAGCTTGCGTATTCAGGTTCCCATTAACGATTAGTCACTTGTAAAGAAGAGGCTGGAGTCATCTGAACATGGACACTCTGACTAAGCACAAATTATATCTCATCCACTCTGGAGCCGGGTGAGGAACAATGGAGATCCAGGTTGGGCATAAGGCCTGTGGTGCTGCTTTTCCATTCCTCATAGACTGGCTAAAATTGCCCACTGGTACCTCCACTGGTTTGCAACAAAGTGCCAACAGGAAGATTCAATGAATCCCATATTCTAATCCTCTCACCATGACCAAGGCCCCCAATAAATTCATTCCTTTACCCTGCTTTGCTCCCCACACCTCGTCCAGGCGAATCTCACCCACATCTTGGGCGCAGCCCAAACTGTGGTAATTCCTTATTTCCCTGGTGTTTCCTTTTCTCTACCTTTGATTTTATCCACCTCTTAAAGCCTCCTCTACTTCATCCTGCCTAATTCCTTCCCTGCCTTTTGTACTCTCAACTCTTCCTCTTAGTCTCCATAAAATTAGCTGCCAACATTGGCCTCACCTAGGAGCCTCCCAACACAAAAGGCCTAACAGAAAATGTCCACATCACAGTCTTTTCTTGGAGAGTGACAGTGAAAGGACAGGCCCCAGTGTGTAACTTAAGTTTTGGGGGTTTTTGTTGGGTCTGTAATCAGTGATACCCTTCGCCACTTTTTATCAGCAAAGATAAAACAAAAAACAAACAAAAGAGAAAAGAACCATGAGGTTTAGCTGCCTTGTAAGGGTAATATGGATTTCAGCAGGGCCTCCTGTTGCTCTTTCCCCATCAGCATGTCCTGTTGCAATACCCTAGCTTCCTCCCACCCCTTATCAACTGTCCTGATGAATATGGTAAAATAATCATGATGGAGGGAGGCTGGCTAGTGTTTACACAGAAAAGAGCTGAAGGGTGCTGAAAGGCAGAAGCAGAGCCTGGTAGCTGACTGGAAGGCAAATGATTCTGCCGTGACCCTAATAAGGTCACACATGTATCTGACTTTAAAAAAAATCACTAGTCTCATTGAGTGGTCTGTCTCTGCCAAGGGTAGCAGGCAGGCCAAGGCAAAAAACCAAAATGCTAGAATCTCTCATCAAATTAAGCCGGGGTAGCTGGACGCATCAGGAGCTAAGCTAAGAAGAAGGCAGAGACCGCAAGAGCTGAATGACACTGAGGTGTACCAGCAACCTGCACAGGATGGCTTCTTCCCAAGGAATGGTGTTCTTTTTCTTGGGCATTTGAAAGGAGCTGGGAGCAAGCTGTTTAAATATTAAATTTGTCCTCCTTTTGGTAATATCACCACTACCATTGGATGTTCTCACTCCAAAAGCAGCTGTGCCAGATAGAGGGCTAGAAACCACCAAATATTTCCATGTTTATAGCAGATAGAGGCACACGTCCCTTCTACAGCTTGCAATGATTTGCCTGGAGTCAATATGCCATCTTAAATTGATCAACAGTACCATTTCTAGAGCTTGTTCTAAGGCATAGAAAGCTCCTGTAGAATAGTATTTGACATGTAGCCCCTTAGTTCTGTATCTGAGCATGGACAGATCTGGGTTCAAATGTCGGCAGCACTAAATGAGACTGCAGCATGTGGCATGCAAAATTCTCAGATGACCAAGATTCCCAGCCCTTGGCTAGTTAAAACAATCATCTAGGTACTGCTGTGTTCACGTGACCATAAGATAGGGAGATTATTCAGGTGGGACTGTAACGTGAGTCACTTAGAAGCAATGTTTCCTTCAGCTGGTCCCACAAGAGGAAGTCAGATTCGAAGCACGTGAAGGATCTGACGCAATATGATTTGATGCACCACTGTTGGCTTGAAGATGGAAGGAATCAAGTTATGAGGAATGCGTGTAGCCCCTGTAAGCTGACATCAGCCTTGAGACCCTAAGCAGAGAACCCAGTCAAGCTCACTAGGAGCTCTGGGCTACAGAACTGTGAGATGATAAATGAATATTGTTTCAAGCTGCTAAGATTGTAGTAGTTTGTTATGCAGCAACAGAAAACTAATGTAGCATGTAAAGCTCTCAGTAAGCAGACTGCCACAGTTCTAAATGGCCTGGACTTCTTCAGTGTTAGCCCTCCAATCTCCAAATCCTCCCACACCCCAGTCATAAGACCACAGACTTCTTCTGACCCCTTTCACTAAAAAAGAAAAGTGTACCAAGAAGATGAGGGAGACAAAGATCTCCCATACTTCAAAAGCCCACCCTGGGTGGAGATACCATTTGGAATCCTAGTAAAAAGAATTAGATCTTTCTCCATCTACCAACTCCAATACACCAAATGTAGACTCATTAGTTGGCAGGAGCAATCTGCCACTGGCCCTGGGTGTTCCTGTACATCCTTGGTGGGGAGGCCACTACCCAGGCCCTTCTCATAACTGTGTTCACAGCAAGAGTCTTGAGAGATGAAGTAATGTGTGCATCTGGAACACATAGTTTCCCTAAGCACTCATGTTCCTTAGCTGTGATGCAAACCCACTGTGTGCATGGCATCCACCGGGGGCCTGTCCATATTACCTCTGTGGGACATGGGGACAGGAGACACCAAATCAAACATGAAGCTCATGCTGCTTGCTGTGCTGATTCACACAGTTCTTTGTCTCTGACTGAGGACTCTCATGTCTTCTGCTAGCATTCATGAAACAGTAATAATCTAATTTATTAGCTTGTAAGGTAAAATTCCAGACTCTGACACTATAACACTTAGATCTTTAAATCAGGAGATCTAAGGTCTTTACATTATAAATTCTTTCTGAATTTTCTTGTGGAGATAATAAAATCTATATCACAGAGCTATTGTGAGACTACAAATGTAGAGCACATCTGGGATATAGAAAATATCCAATAACTTTAATTGGACTCCTGCCCTCCCCAGGTACTCATCCCCCCACATATACAGACAATGAACCAGACAGGGAGCAACATCTGTCTCCAAGACAGCAGAGTCCATTCCAAAGACCAGAGATGACAGTCTGATATACTGATTTCTGACATTTGCATAATACTACACTAGTCATAAAGAGTTTCCACTCATGTTATCTCATTTAATCCCCACAGACACAAAGGTTCAAAAAGGTCAGTCCTTGCAGAAAAAACAGTAACAGATTCCACAGTCTGGAAAATGGCCACACGACAGAAGCCCAGGGATGTGGACTGAGGAAGCATTGCTGAAACACAGTCATGTTGTTGGTCTAGCAGCACAACTACGTCCTAAAAGGCACATTCTTTGTCCAAGTAAGCCAAGGGGGCTCTCATCCATGACAGGGCCTCCTGAGGAATGTCAATGCCACTGGAGAAATGGCTGGAAACCACATGATATAAAGATGTCTTTTATTCAGATATAAAAATGGAAAATCAAGACTTTAACACAAGAGGCTATCCTATGGATGAATCTGGACTTGGTCCCTTTGGGTCCTTGGCAGCTTCTGTTTTCTCTGTAGGCGTTGGGGCCCTTATCTGTGACAGTATCACTTGAGGGTCTTGCTAAGGTTGGAGAAGCCAATGCCAACACAGGTCAGCAGCACTTTATCCCCACCCTTGAGTTCTTCACCACATGGCTTGGTTTCAATTTTAAACATAATCTGGAAAAAGCTCTTCAAATGCCGCAAAAATTCTATCCTAAAAAAAAAAAAAAAGGAGGGAGGAATAAAAGAGTAGTAATTCAATTTAAAAGAAATTCTCCTCCCACCTAGAACCCAAGCTTTTAATTTTCCAGATCAAGAGGAATGACCCAAATTAAGAAATTCTCATCAAGGCTGATTAAATAATATCTATTTATAGCCTGCCAGTTTCCAAAGAGGATTTAGACAGCTTGCAGAGGTGCACACAATATAAAATAAATTAAATAAGTAAATAAGGTTAGAGGTTATTGCATGACACATTAAGTCTTCTTCTACACACTTGTTACAATGGACATTGTAACATGTTAATCTTTGAGTGGCTCCTGCAAAGAGAAACACATACTCTCATGATTCACATCATCATGAATGACTGCTGCTGCTGCCAAAATACAGAATTCTCTCTCTCTATCCTCAACCTCAACAACACCCTTCCATTCACTTAACAAATACTTATGAAGGTCTACAATGTGCCAGGCATTGCTCTTAGTGCTGGAGATGTTGCAGTCAACTAAAAATCCCTTCTTCCATGGTGTTTTCAATCTAGTGGGGCAGCCCAGATAAGTTAAGTGTTCTTAAAAAGGGAAATTTAAATAAAGTAAACAAGGCAGATGGGAAGGAAATGTGGGTATAACAATATTTGTGTGTATGTGGCAGGAGGCAATATTAAATAAGGAGGCCAGGGATGAACTCCCAGTAAATATGGCAAGAAATTTCATGGAGTTATTTCTTATCATCTTTCTTAAGACACAGTGATGGCTTCACTCCAACAATACCTTGGGAACAGCAACTCTATGGAAGGACCATGGTACAGGTATGCAGGCCTCTACTTGGCCTAGCAGATTCAGCATCGCCACAGCTACCTTGACCATTAAGACTCAACCTGGATAATTCATTAAATATACAGATTCCTGATGGTTCTGACCAACTGGCAACTGAGAGGGAGGACATGTCCATGTGGAAGAGCCCAGAATCACAGGCCACATGCACAGACGTCCCCTCCCCACCCCTTACCAGGTCCTGTCTCCCTAGTGCATAGGGGCCAGAAAGCTATTATTCACGAGCACCCCTCATGATATTTATTAGGCAAGTTTGAAAAATACTACTTTGGTTAAGAACAGATGGACTGCATATCTATAATAAAGTATTCTAGCAACCTTGGGTTGTGCTCCCTCCCAACTGGGCTATCCAAACTCCCTACCCCAGCCAGATGTTTCTAAGGTCCAACTGTACATGGAATCACCTCAGGAGCTTTCAAAATACTGGTCCTGACATACAGATCAATGGAACAAAACTGAGAGTCAGGAAATAAACTCATTCATTTATGGTCAATTGAATTTCAAGAAGGGTGCCAAGATAATTTAACAGGGGAAAGAATAATCTCAATGAATGGTGCTGGAACAACTTCACATGCAAAAGAATGAGGTTGGACACCTTCTTCATATCATACACAAAAATAAACTCAAAATGGATCAAAAATCTGCAAGTAAAAGCTAAAACTATGAAACTCACAGAAGAAAACAGGAGAAAATCTTCATGATCTGGGCTAGGCAATGGTGTCTTAAATATAACACAACATTTAAAAGCAGAGTGATGAAAGAAAAAAATAAATTGGATCAGCAAAATTAAAATCTTTTGTGGACGTTACCAAGAAAGTGAAAATACAAGCCCCAGGATGGGAGAAATTATTTGCAAACCATATATCTGATAAGGACCTAATATCTAAAATATATAAAAAATTCTAACAACCTAATAATAAAAAATCAAAAAATCCAACTTAAAAATGGGCAAAGGATCTGACAGACATTTCTCCAAAGAAGATATACAAATGGCCAATAAGCATAGGAAAAAGTGTTCAACATCATTAGTCATTATGGAAGTAAAAATCAAAACCACTGTGATACCATTTCACATCGAAAAGAATGGCTACAATCAGAAAGACAGATAATAATGAATGTGTGGGTCAGGATGTGGAGAAATCACAACACTTAATATACTACTGGTAGAAATTGTCACCACTATGGAAAAACAGTCTGGCAGATACTCTAAATGTTAAACAAAGAGTTACCATATGATCCAGCAAAATGAAAAATACACTCACACAAAAACTTGTACACAAATGTTCAGAGCAGCATTATTCATAACAGTGAAAACAACCCAAATGCCCATCAACTGATGACAGGATAAACGAAATGTGGTATATCTATATAATGGAATATTATTCAGCCATATAAAGGAGCAAAATACTGACATATGCAACAATTTGAGTGAACCTTGAAAACATGCTAAATGAAAGAAGCCAGTCACCAAAAAAACTCATACTGTATGAGTCTATTTATATGAAATAGACAGAACAGGCAAATCTATTATAGAAGCAGAAAACAGATTAGTGGTTGCCCAGGGCTGGGAGTAGTGGGAAGAATAGTGAACAACCATGAATGGGCAAAGGGTTTCTTTCCGGGGTGATGAAAATATTCTAAAATTAGATTGTGGTTATGTTTACGCAACTTTGTGAAAATACTAAAAACCACTGAACAGTATACTTTAATGAGTAAACTATGTGGTATATAAATTATATCTCAATAAAGCTGTTTAAAATAAATAAATGAATACATATTTTTGAAGTTAAATAAAAATGCACTGATCCTGGCTCCCACCCTCATACAGCATATACCAAACTAAGTATAAAGCCTATTGTGATAAATTTTCCACCCGCTTCTGTCCCTCTGTCCTAGGTGATCTAGTCAAAGAAGGGAAAGGCAAAAAGGAGAAAAGAAGGCCCAAACAATTACTCTCCCTGCCTGACTGACATATTAGGGCTAAGAGATGAAACAGGAACTACCCTGGAGAGTAGGAGTTCCGGTGAGAGCTGCATGCTAACAGAAAAATTCCTCACTTCTTTGCTCTTTCTTCTCCCTATAATGATGCTACATCTCCATCTTTAAAATAACATTCTATTTGTCAGCCCTTCTACAAAGCTTTCCCTCGCCAATAACCTTCTGCATTCTTGGCTCTGCTTATGGTATCTAAATGCTTATGTATAGTTGTCTCACAATTGCCCCCTCCCCCTCTGACAAATTATTATAAATACCTTAAGGGCAACAACCTTATCTATTATTGAAATCTATTATATACCTGCTAGGCACTATATAAGGCATTCAATAATAAGGTATTGAGTAGAATTTAGGAGTTAGGGCTAATTTTGAGAAATGACTTCAACATTCTTAGCAATTAAGGGAAGTCAGTTCTTCTGCTGGTTTTCCTGTCTTACCAACCATTTGACATTTTCAGTTTTTTGCTCTCCATCTCAGCCTCACAACCTCCCCTACCCTGTCCCAGGGAAAAAAGAAAATAAACACATCAAACCCATATATAAACAGTGCACATCTGTGGGCAACGCTTCCAGCTGGCAGCAATGCAGACAAAACCAATCATCTCACCCACTCGTCTGCATTCTAAGGAGAAAACAGCTTGTTCTCTCTTTCACTGCTGCCTCGGCTCTAACACAGGCCCGCCCCCAGTGCTTCCCCAGACTACTTCCCTCTGAATGGTTTGACTGTGCTGGAAAACCCAGATGCCTGCCCCAGCTGGCAGAATTCCTAAGAGGCCTCAGCTTGCTTCTGATCTCTTGGAGGATAGGAGAAACACAGGTTTGAGTGTGCAGGCCTACATACTTGCAGCTTTGGGATATTTGTAGCCTTTGGAATAGTTAGAAAAAGCAAAGTCACTTCCACGTTTTATATAATGTTCTGCCAACTCCTCAGCCTGTCTGAGGAAGACTGTATAGGAGACTGGATTAAGGTATGTTTCAGAATGTCCTCCTACCTCCAGCCCCATTCTCCTCATGTCTCCTGTGGCTGGGCTATCAAAGAGTAAATATGGTCAGAAGATGAGAAGTAACCACAGACAATACAAAATCCTAACAAACTGTCTCTTTAAGAAAATAAAAACCAAACAGAGAACAAAATCACCCATACCTATATGGAGTTGAACAAATTCACATCGGTGCTGATCTACAGCCTTCACCACAGCCCCACAGCTCTGCATGGCTCCAGCCCCACACAGGCCCCACGAGGCCCCAACTCCCGAGGGCAGAACGCTTCCCTTTCCTTCTCTTCCCAACTCTATACTGTAGGATCCACACTTCCTAGATCCACCACATGGCCGCACAGCCAGGCAAAAGAGAGCCATGGCACACTGAGAGCAGCTCTTCTCCTTAACACATGATCAGTTTAACTGGCATCTTTTCAGACTAACCAATTTAGGCAACTTGGACTGTGCAACTCCTGTGTAAGGGACTTAGAGAACTATATCTATACTAAAATTTTTATTTTCAGGACAAAGTTTTTGTAAATTGTTTGCTCAAAAACTAATAACCTTTTCATGAAAGCCTCCAGTCCATCTAACAAGCAGGTTTCGGATAATCCTGGAACATAGAGATAATTTTTCCTATGTATCTTCCAAGAGTGGGTTGTTCCACTAGTCTTGCTGGTCAACAGGTGATGGCCACTGGGCTCATAGTCATCTGCCCGTTAAATTCCACTACCCAGGACTTACTAGGTTGCTCGGCCCTACCCCTTAAAATACTGCCGCTCTCACCAGGTCCCTCTTTTGATGCCTGCTAGAGAGTAGGAGTGAAAGCACTCATGGATGAGCTCTCTTTCTCACAGCACCAAACACAAACTACAGCAGAGGGTCCTGATTCCTGCTCCACTAAGCCACTTGGATATTGGGGTTACCTACTTCTCAGGTTTTAAGAGTTGCTATAGAGGTTGAGGGGAAGGGAGATCTGGGGATGAGAAGAGAATCTGCTGGATGGGGCCCTCGTAGTCATTACACCACAGCTTTTAAATATATTGACGGTGTTTTTTCTGCCAAATAGTAGCTTTCCCAAAGCCCAGTTGGCCTCTGCTCTAAGAATGAAGTTATGAAATTTGATTATAAAGGCAGAAGGAAACAGAGCCAGGCTGGCTACACTGTTGGGAGATGTGGGTTCCAGGCCAAGTTTGGCTAAGAACTCACCATAAGCAGATCACTGACCTCTCTTTTTCATCTGAAAAGTAAAGATATCACTTGCTTTTACCATATGCCAAATACACTCTGGGGTTCAAACAGCTTAATAAAGATGACAGAGCTTTGCAGAGTTTAAACACAAATCACAAATATAAGGTGGAGTGTTAATGGGCTGGCTCAGAAGAGCAGTTACACTGAACCCAAATGGCAGTAGGCTTGGCCAGCAGTTTTTCCTGCATTATCTCATTTGATCTTCACATTGCAATGCTACAGACTGGGTAAACCAAGAACCCCTAGTTAGTCAGTGTTTAACAAGGATACTGGGCTCTTCCTCCCCAGGACTTCACAAGTAGTAGAAAGAGGTAACTTATTAAAGTTTGAAAAACTTTAGAGTGGCGTGGTTTATTTTAGACCTCCAACTAAAGATAGAAGGAGATCATTTTACAGCAGAATTTGAAACAAGGACTCTCTCAAAAGATGTGGCATGGCGACCTGCCTCAGGCAGACGTACTTATAGTCCAACAAAAGAATCCCAGCTCTTACATAGGGTGCAGTGGGTCAGAAAAGCATGGACTCTGGAAGAGATTGTCTGGGTCTGAACCCCATTTGCTGACTGTCTAGCTCTGGGCACGTGACTTGATCTCTCTATGCCTCAGTCTTCTCACCTGCAAAATGGAGCAGGCAATACTACCTGCCTTTATCATCCTCATAGAGTTATTATGAAAACTTAATGAGTTCATATTTCTTAAGCACTTAAAACAACATCTGGCCAACAGTAAACTGTTAAGTTTTTATAATAAACATCTACCTTACAGAATTCTTGGGAACAGTAAATAAGACGTGTATAGTTTGTTTAGCAACATGACTGTAGGAAGTTAGTCATAAATTTAAAAACTAATGGATATAAATTTATAGACAGCTGAGCAAACAATTTACAACTGACTTCAGGCCTGAGATTGCCCAAAGCAAGTTTACTGGGCCTCCTGGTATTCCTTAATGGGAGACTGGATTTCCCAGACTGGGGTAGGGCGAAGGGAACCACGGTGCCCAGCACTGATTGGGATCCTCCAGGCAGGTGCACTGCTAGGAGCACGAAGGACCTGACCTCATTTAAACTTCACTTCATCTCCACAAGCCCATGACTTCGGACCATTCACCTTCTCTACAGATGAGACCAAAGCTCCGACCCCATGGCAGCCCCTCTTGCATGAAACCCTAGGTGGTAACCCAGAGAGAGAATATCCTGCAAGTCCCAAGTCTCAAAACATAATTTTATAATTTGTCTCACTCCTGTAAAGCTCCAGCAGACTACTTTGTTTTCTCAGGAGATGTAGTAATTTTAGGCAACATTTCTGGAAGACAAGACACTGCAATTAACGTCTGGTGAAGAGGACACAGGAACTTTAAAAAGTGTCCAGTCACATCTTGACCATCACTACAGGGGCAGCTGACTTGAAAAAATTATAAAGGCCCTGTAGCCAAACTGGAAAAAAAAAAATCTCTAAAAGCAAAAATAAAAAGTGTGAAGGAAAAAGAAAAATATATATTCCATTTTTCACATAATGTTCTGCCAAACCCCATGCCCCATGACCACACACATTTCTAGACACCGCCTCATGCTGTGTGAGCAGTTATGCCTTCTGCTGCCCTGAAGCAGAAGCTGGGAAAGTAGCAACAATGAGACAGCTAAGAAGCTAAAGGGGGCTGTGGTGGTCACAGAGCTGTCAGCCCCTTCCAGCAGGCTCTCCACAGGAAGCGAATCTCTGCATTTGGGGTGCTGTACTCCCAGCCTTTACCTCCTCTCCAAAGGCCTTGACTACAAAGTCTATTTTAGCAATGTTGATTCCTGATGTTAGCGTGCCATTTCCAATTACTCAATTTCAGGTTTCCTGTCCTGCGAAATACTTTACACAAGTTATCAGCAGATAATGTGGTCCTCACCAGTTTCCTGCTTATCGGTCTTCCCCCACTGCTAACAGAATGTATTTCCTTGTTCCAAAAAAAAACTTCCCACCACCAAGTCAAAAAAAAAAAAGCCTCCAAAAGAATCTCTTTCAAGTTCCTGGGGCCGTACACCCACCCTCTAAGCCATGGTCCAGTAGTGCAATGCTTGCCCCTTTCTCAATGTGATGGCACCACCATTCTTCAGTTATCACAGTACTGTACCTTTCAGATATACAGCATCGGTACCATGATAACCGAAAAAGGACAGTTCAGTCTCATTATCTACCTGAATATGTCCTCCCACATAAGAAGCACCCATATACTCCTCACCCACAGATGGCCATGTTATGATCTGAAGTATATAAGCACATGTACACACACCCAGATGTCAGTGCTCAAACAGGTTGCTTATAGCAACCTCATTTACTATCCATGGGAAGTACTTCTTTAACTGTGCTACTAATAATTCAAGTCTTCTGATGAGCTGCTCTTTTTGGAGAGTACTTGGTTTAATACCTCAGCAGTCAATTTCTGGTAACACTCAATGGCCTCAAACTCACCTTTCCAATTTCCTTACTTATCCAGTGGCCTTACTATGGACTTTGCCTCTCTCTTCATCTTTCTAGCCAGTTCATACCCTATCATCTTAGATAAAAAGGTAGTCCTATTTGCTACAGCTGGAGAAAAGACAGATTTAGAAAACTAGCAAAATCCAAGCTATAACAGAACCAGGAGTTTACCTCCAAAATGGATAAAAATCCTAAGCATAGAGAAAAGAACTGTCTAATATACCACACAACTTTAATGACATGGAAATGACAGATGGGAATGAGAAAACTACAAAAGAAAAAGGAAGGCAAAATCCTTGTTAAACACCAAGTTAAGAGTGACAACCTTCGGCTCATTTAAGGATCAGTACAAGCAGATGTTCATAGTGATGGCTATGTGCAGTACAACACCTTTGTCATTTCGTGCAATTGGAAGATTAAACTGGACAGCAGAATGAGGCTGAAAGAAAACAACTCACGTGTAGGG